GCCAGCATGCTTTGCTGATAGCCAGCGATGTATGTTGGAAGCAGCTTATCCCCATAGTTTCTATCAAGTGCACGTCACTTCCGGTGATACGCCCACCCCAACTCACCGAGTGTACATCAGTTTGGTTACATATCCACTAACTCCCGAACGGTTCCTTTCAGTGACCTGGGAAATAAAAAAAGCTGAATAAATGTTTACCATTTGAACACACGGCTAGAAACATTATTTTAATGAAACTTCCATTTATGAACACTCAACACAATAGCTTTCGACAGATGGGTCTAGGCTAACATATTGGTGACGTTTCGAATGTTTGCGCTGCCTTTCCTATGCCTACTAGTGCTCCCCACTACCATTCAAGGTGTTCTTGAGGTGAGGAGCTTCAGCAATGCTTGCTCGGAGCTTGAAAAGACGAGAATTTATATCTAATGGTGGTATGGAACGTTCCAAGTGGACCCTGCCTGGAAGAAGAAACCTAAAGTGGTCTACCGCTTGATAAATTCAACATTTCTCATAACAAAGGTAAAAGAGCGCTAACTAGGGTCCACTATGTATAATGTTAGAGTTACGGTAATCACCACATAGTTAACATCCACAGGTTCCTGATCACGTCACTTAGGTAATAGGCATATTGAAAAAAGGTTTCTCGATTTCAGAACAAATATTTTTTGGTGACAAAACACTTTTGTTTCATGAAAAACAGTTTGGATTATGCCCATATTATAAAGTTGCTACCTCCAACATTAATTCATCAAAACTGGAGTTCCTCCTGGCAGCAAGTCAAAGTCTGACGCACTAGAATAATAATGCGCTACATAATTTAACATGTATACAGGGAGAGGCGGAAAAAAATAATTCTTGTTGCCCAGTATGTACACATCAGCAAGCCCTTCTTCACGAAACGCCCGCGTTGATGGTAGTTCTACGGTCAGTCCTTAAGGTCCCTCCGGGAGCACACCCTCCCACACTGCCCTCACCGACGAGCTCGGGGAGCCTACCGTAACTGCTCCAGCCTGAAGCTGCTACGTAAATTTCCATTGGTAATTGATGAGCAACGAACGAACATCTCGAATGCTGCACGCTGTCATTGCGATGGGCCCCATTTGGGCAGTTGAAAAAATAGCAAAAAAGGCAAAAATATCAGACACGAAATGCAATCGAAAATTCTCGATCAACTTCTACCATCATTTCGGTATCAATGGATGATCCACATCACTTAAGGTCGCGGTCCTCTCAAGCACATCTAAATCTCTATGACTATAATACAGGGTGTTCCATAAATACTGCAACACATTTTGAGCTTCAATTATGTGGGTGTTTGTAGTCTTTTTCCCAAGGTTGGCATACCTTCACTTCCTATAACCTCTTGTGGATAACGTTGCTAAAGTGCACCGCTTACCATTCGTTGTACATCTCATAGTGCATCTAAACCTCCATAGAGGTCATAATCCCTCATACAGTTAGATCGGACATACGGTGATGAACATCGCACTTCTTTGGAACTTTTAACCCCTTCGCGGCCTACCGTGTACTGAAGAGAAGACCAATGAAGGTAGTCCTTTGTTGCGGTCGCCGGACAAGTTCTAGATTTGTTTCAGGAAAAGCATGAAGAAGCGAAACGACTGCAATACCCGGGCTGGTTCGAGAAAGGTGACCAGGACGCTGAAGTTTCTAAGCACAGTCATGTGGAGAGTGGTCAGATAACAAGTGCTCACAGTCCATTATAAGTTGCATACGCACCACTGCTCAATACAACGGGAGGAGCACAGCACAGACAAAAAGTTCAAAGAGCTGGTGTCGAGGGCCGAAAACGGGGATCATGCGAGCACCGTTTTATCGGCGACAAAATTTCTCCTATGGAGCAGAGCTACAATCTTCAAACTGTGAGGTTGCCCACATGAGGTCCCGTGGAGTCCAACCAGAGTGAAAGGAATATTCGTCACAAGCAGCCGCCAATCTTTATCACGATTTGGGCAAGGGTCTCAATCACAGGTGGCTCACCACAACCGTCTGTTGAAAAGCGAATAAAACTCGATACAGACCTAGCTAACGAATGCTCCAGTGCACCATTTGTTGTTGTGGTATCTGGTTTCTTCAAAGAGGAATGACGTTCCTTTCAAAGGTAACCAGCTTCTGCATAAAGGGCAAAAATTGTTTAAGACTGGTTTCACGATACTGTTCCCCATTTCACGTCCTCAAAGGAATGGCTCTCATATCTCTCGATTTCAACCTGCTGGACCATCCTATTTGGGCTGTATGAGAGGACAGAGCCTGCACTAAACAATGCGTCCAGATAGAGAAGCTGAGACCTTTTCTCTAGAAAGTTACGAAGAAGGCACTGCAGGATGCCATGCGGGAAACACTAGAGTTGTGTTCGAAGCAACTGGGAGCCATACTGACAGCGACAGAGGGACTTATCGAATAAATGTCATTCCTTTCAACAGCTTAATGACTGGCTAAGAATTATGTGTATGACCACATGAAGATATGTCCACTTTGAGAGAAGTTACAAGTTAAGAAACGTGTTGCAGTATTTATGGAACACCCTGTAATGGCCACACATTCCGGCGCTTCTGACGCGAGCGCCAGGCGTTCTAGCGGTAAACAAATGTGATATTCGTGTTCTACGGGTCGAATTACCCCGAAGGCAAGTTTCTGGCCAAATTCACAGTCAATGACCAATTTCGATAAAAATCCGGCTCAGTTCTCGAGGAGTGGGGCAGTAAAGGGTAAATAGTGCCAACTGCTTACTGCAATCCCCCTAAATTCCACCATTTCACAAAAGTAACGCGCTTGGCTTGCAAGCTCAGTTCCCTCTCGAGTATTCTTAGATGATCGTAGACAGCCCTGGAGTTCAAGATTAGACCAGTTAGTTTCACACTTGTATTTTTAGAGTTCTTGTTAGAAATCTCTTCCATTCTCATGCTAGTCTAGTTCTTTTTTATGGCGTTTTTGAGCACAAATAAATAAATAAATAAACAAATAGATGATGGTTGAATTGTGCTCTGCCCACCAAGAGTGCCTTGGACATGAGGGAGTCAGACCCTTCCACAGATCACCCTACCCAGCTTCCTAGCACAGAAACTACCTTAACACGTTGACGACATCGCGCGTTTTGTGCTTCTGCACCCAGGAGTTACAGTACTGGAAGTTTGACCGAAACGACGTGTTAAGGCCATGAAAAGGAAATTTTACTTAATTTCCCTTTAGTGGTTCCAAAATTAATTTGGACGTGGTTGTTTCAGTAAAAACACATATCTTCCCATACGAATAGGTTTGTATTCACTTCTGTTATTCCTTTTTATCAACATGTCTACGTTATGAAAAGAAAACGAGGAATGAACTGAACAGACATATCCGTAAGGTCTGGAAAACCTCTGCCAAACTAAAGAATATTTGGCCTTTCTGTGAGCCATGTGGTTTTTAAGTATGCTAATGTATGACCTATAGAATGAGTACAAAGACCTTAGGAATAAGTCGCACAAGCGCAAGAAAAAGGGATGACTTGGGTGGGACGCGTTACCGCGTCACAATGTCCCACGAGGTGCGCAAAGTGGGACGCGTTACCGCGTCACGCTGTCGTCAACGTGTTAACGCTCAATTCTACAGCATACAAAACTGACTGTGTTCAAGTGCCCGATTTTATTGATGAATTTCACACGATATGATCGGAAAGAATCTTTCAGATCTGCTCAAAGCTCATCAGTCCAGGCACGTTTCCGCTCAAACTGTCAACAGCACTTTTCCATGGCATGTGAACTACCAAAAATGAATGAATGCTCAGCTATTGAGCACAGTTTTGATAGAGCTTTTAATGAAAAATCCCACATATTGACCAGCCTTCAAAAGCCGGGTAAAGGCTGACACAATAGTGATGTTTCGAATGGCCGCATTGCCTTTGCTGTGCCTGCTACTGTTCCCCATTATCACTCAAGGTTCTCCTGAGGTAAGAATCTTCAGTACTTGCTCAGAGTCCTGTAAAAAGATGGTAACCAATATCCGAAGGTGGTCTGGAACGTTGCAAGTGGACCCTGCTTGAAGAAGAAACCTGAAGTGGTCATACCGCTCGTTACTTACAATATTTCCCATAATGAAGGTAAAATTATGCCATCTACGATCTAATACAATGCTAGGTTATGAACACGTGTCACACATCCGACATCACCAAGTTTCTGATCACGTCTGTTACTCAAGGGTCAGTGCATATTCACAATATATATCTGATTGCATAGTTTGAGCAACAGCTCAGAAAATTTTCAGGGAATTCCTGTTGAACCATTTCAGGCCTCACTTCATTAGCGGATATTTCTCGATTTCAGATCAGCAATTCTTTGGTAGAAAAATTGTTTTATTCTATGAAAAACATTTTGGGTTATGCCCATATTACAACAACTCCAAACCGGATCAGCCAATCAACGGAGGCTTACCCCAGGTAAAAAATAATTAAACCAATACCAACGCCAGTTCATTATTCAAAAAGTTTTCATTGATTACGACTGCGCTCAGTCAGTATAGATTGGTCTGATGATGGTATTATCACCCAGAATTGATGAATTTTTGTGGAAGTACAAAAGATTCAAGAATTTTTCTGTGAGGAAGGTTATACCATAAGTTGCTGCCATGAAATTGAACAGTTGCAGAAAGTTCTCGTTAGTGATCATTTGGTGGCGGTTATTAAAGACATCAGAACAAAAATTCCTGATCGGAACTTCGACGGACTCGCTGTGATCGACCTAGAGGAATGGCGTCCGCTTTTCAAAATGAACTGGGGAAAACAAAAAGGTGAGTCATCCACCGTTAAGTGCACGTGTCAAGAAGCCCACATCGTGGAGTGACAGTCGTATTCGACCCAAGGGGAGCGATCACAAGCGTAAGAGTCAGTTTACTGTTGTAATCCTTGTTGATGGAGGGGGATTCCAAAGGGATTTTGTGCCTCACTCTGGAGCGTGCTATATCCACCACGGTCATCGCAAGGAGGTCGACGTAAATGTGAATCGATCAAATTTGAACACTTTCTATTTATTTGATTGAGAGGGAAAACGAGACATTAAGTCGGCTTTACAATATAATTTTATGGAAATATGCGAAGAAACTGGAAAATGGAATGTGAATCTATTACGAAGTTTGGCGCATCCCAAAACGAGATCTAACTCTTTAGTTTTTTTTATAATAAGATGTATGAATTTTACAAGATGTGGATGAATAAATAGTGTACGCATACAGCAAAGTTAAACTCACAGCAAGTCAAGGAATCATCAGAATCAATATATAGCCCTCACACACGGCGTGGCGCGTGCGTCGAACATGCAGAGCAGAAAACAATTAGGTGTAGGGGAGCAATGTGTGACGTGCTGTGCCCAGCACATATGACGTGGGCGGAGGCCTGCCTACAATGAGCTGAGCGCGCTCTGAAGTGTACAGCGTTTTCTACAAGTCCTCATAATTCGGGCGGGGGCCTATCTACGTGAGCGGTGGATAGAGATGAGTGGAGGAGTGGAGGTCAACCATTATCGGTGGGCTGGGCATGATCAAAGTGGGCGGGGGTATCCGAAAATCCATGACTACTTAGGCCGAGAACGGACAAAAACTGTCTTTGCAGACAACCACCCTATAATTTTATTTTTGTTTATTGTGTAGTTATAACAGTTTTTACATTTCCTTAGCTCCAAGAGGTCCTGGAGATCGGGAAAAATGCGAATTGAGTCCGACAACGCAAGGGAGGTCAACTGCTCTTTGGTGGGTGGGAGTGCCATCAACGTGGTGCGGAGTTTGCCCTAAACTTATATTTAATTCCGAGAAGTCCAGGAGACCGGGAAAAGTGTGGTCGAGTCCGACAACGCACGGGAGGGCAACTGCTATTGGTGGGTGGAGCGTGCACCTAAAGTGGGCGGAGTTTGCGACGAAATTATTAACTCGGTTCCAAGAAGTCCCGGAGGACCGGAAAAAGGTGGATAGAGGTGGGTGGAGGAGTGGAGGCCAGCTGTCATCGGTGGGCGGGGCTTGACCAAAGTGGGCGGAGTTTGCGACGAAAATTTATAACTCGGCTCCAAGAAGTCCGGGGAGAGAAGAGGTGGGTGAAGGAGTGGAGGCCAACTGCTATCGGTGGGCGGGGCATGTTCAAAGTGGGCGGAGTTAGAAAGGGAGTGAATTTCTAATGGTGTGCGGAGGATACACCAAAAAGCAGGTTTCGCCGCCAAAAATAAATCGGCTCAGAGATAGTTCAGAGATCGGGTAAAAAGTGGGAGAGGTTGGCGAGGAAGAAAAAGATAGGTGGGACATGCAAAGAAATAGGCGGAGTTTACCACGAGATTCATAAATCGGTCCAGAGGCAGTCCGAGACCGGGAAAAGCGGACAATTGGTTGACGAAGGCAAAGTGTATTGAGCCAAATTCGAGAATTTACGCCACACCATCCTATATTGCCGCAGAACTGTGCTGTGCACGCGATGCGTGCGGCGCCAACTGGTTAACGTATAAACGACATGCCCACTGACGGTAAAATACGCTTCAGTTCAGCCGAGGTTTCCCATGTGTTACGCAAATGTCAGTTCAGTTAACTCCTCGTTTTCTTTTTACTTAGGACGTGTAAATGAGAAAGGTTAGTATGAGCAAACCCAAACCTACTACACGATGGCACTATACACAGGGGTTGCTAAAAAAGGGTCACTTCCCTCCACATTCAAAACGGAATTAATTACAAGCTGCGAAACCAAACCAAACGAACCCAATTTATTATTGAAGCAACACATCTAATCT